GCCTGCCTCTGCCTCCGGAGGGCTGGGATTAAAGGCAAGGCGTGAGCCGCCTACCACCCAGCAGGACATTTCATTGTTGAACCACAATGACCACCGTGTGCTCCTTCAGCATTTAGACAGTGAGCCCACCGAGATTGCTACAGAGTTATGGGCAGAAGGAAACGGCACCAGAAGCACACAGACCCAAAAGCTACCATCCTGTAGTGAGCAAATGCAAGCACAGTGGAATGCAGGCTGCAGCCCGTCTCCAAAGCCTTGTGCCCATCTCTTCCACAGGACACATTTCTCCTCACTGCAAGGTATGCTCCATGTGATTTCTTCTGGTGCTAAGTACCCTTGCTGAGCCCGGCCTGGGGCCACATCTTTACTGTCTCCTCCTACCTGCCACCCCGTGGAAGATACTATGAGAGGAGGAGAATCCAGTTATATGTGGATGAAGCCTGGATCCCTGGATGAGACCTCATGGAGCCTGCTACCCTGCCAGTGGGAATTACAGTGTGACAGAGAAACATGTAACGATGCTGTTGTTTTAAGCCCCTGAGATCTGGGGATTACTCTGTATAATCACCAAAATGATCTCAACTAAGACTAATCTGTAGCGATAGTCGACCTCTTGTGTGCAAAAAAACAATTAAATAAATAAATGTCAATACAGAGAAACCCTGTCTTGTAAAAACAAAAAATAAATAAATAAATGTCAGGAGGACTGACATTAAAACGGTATTTTTCGAATCTTCAGCTGTGTGCCACACAGACTAAATCCAAACAGAGATAGGCAGCCACAGAGACAGAGGAGGAAAGCCAGCTCTATCTCCAGAACCAGAGAGAGAGAGAGAGACAGACAGAGACAGAGACAGAGACAGAGACAGAGAGAGAGAAGGAGAGAAGGAGAGAGGGAGAGAGAGAGGGAGAGAGTCTCAAAGAGAGATAGCTCTAGAGAGAAATAGCTTCAAGAGAGAGAAAAATCAGAGAGAAAGAGAAATTTTGGAGGAGGGAAGAGGGAGGAGGGAGGGAAGGAGGGAGGAAGGGAGGAACTCAGTGACACTGAACTCTTTAACTGACTGGTGTGGGCTTCCGCCTAGCATATCTGCTCACCCAGATCCTAAGGGAATGGTTTCAGTCTTATCCCCATGATTTCAAATGCCGAACTGCCTCCAGAGCCAAATGAAATCGCAGTCTGCAGAGCCCAGGGCCTTCTCCCTGCTCTCCCGGGCTGCAGCTGGCCCTGGGTCTGCCCAGCTGGCTCTGGCATCAGGTCACGGACACATTCGATCTGAACGGGTAGCCTCTGACAGAGATGAAGGGACGTTTTGCCATGGATTCTCCTAAGCAGACATTAAGAGTGGGAGAGAGGTTCAGGTGTATCCTAAGGCCTCATGGCAGGCAGGGACCCCTCAGCATAGAAAGAGACGTCACCTCTGGGAAGCGAGAGGAGGTGAGCTCAAGATCAGACCCAGGTATCTACAGGCATTCCTCATATGCAGGCAGTACTTGGCCGGCCACCAGTGGACGCGGCACATCTGAATCTCCCAGTAGGTGAAATGGACTTAACACGGGAAACCCTTTTCCTTCCTAGATTTTAAATTACAAACCTAAGTGATGCTTGTGGTGCAGAGTTCAAGATATAGAGAAGGATAAATACAAAAAAAAATAGAATGTCCTTTCTTCTTGAAACACCACAACCACCTAATTATCAGCACTGCCAGTTGGGTGGTGACCAGCCGTTACTCACTCCATCTTCAGACAAACCCATACACGCTGGTAGGGACCATTTTAGACTTTTAACATCTTGCTACGTACACAGGATTATACAATACATATTCTTGTTACAAATTGCTCTCCTTCACTTAATAATTTATTGTAAGTCTCCTTCCAGATGGATATAATTAGTTCTAACTTAGTCTTTTTTTTTAAACAGCTGTCTAATAGTGCCTGCAAGAAAGAGCGGGTGCATGCTGGATTTACAAACATCATCAATTTTGAGAGTTAATAATGGTTGTTGATTTATTTTTGGAGGGAAGTGAAATGTTAACTACACCAGTTTATGTAAGGAAACATGCAACTTTAAATGAGGTAAAGAAAGTGTCTTTGAAGGTAGGACCATCTTGAAGGTGCGGTGTGACTAACATGCTCTGGGGCAGACGTAAAGTTCCTACTGGAGAAACTGAGGTCGTTCTAGGTCTTGGTGCAAGGGCCCGTTGCAGTGCAGGCCTCCCCTTGAGGGGACGGGGTGGGCCGGCATGGGCATCGGGTGCCTCTCCTGGGTTGCTGTTTGCATGCACGGTTGTCTTGCCACCGCTTGGATCTGGCTCAGGAAGGGGAGGGGGAACGCTGCAGGCATTAGCATGCAGGTCACGAAGCCTCACTTTGTTCTCCTGGCTGAGGTCAGATGGAATAAATCAATCAGCCCCCGCATCCAAAGCCCTTCAAACGTGTCCTGGAGCCTTCCAGGCCATGTGTGCTCTGGCCCAGCTTTGAGTTGTCTGTGAGCGTCTAAGGGAACAAACAGAACCGAAAAAGAGCTCCCTGGGGCAAGCAGCTGCTCCCAGGAACCTGTCTTGTGTTTTAGGTGGGAGCAGCCAGCTCGGACGACTCTTGGAAATCTAAGAACACGCACTTGGAGTAGAGATTCCCGCTTCAGATCTCTGGCTCTGCTAGGCCCATCTTATACGCGTACCATGCAGAACATCAGCTCCCAGAATTCTATGACCAGGATGCCGATCTCAGAGCATCCTTTACGGGCGTTAACACAGCACCAAGGTGGGCTTCTTCCATTAGCCCAGAAGCCTGACAGTAACAGTACACGTCTTTGAGCCCCTGAAGTTCTCTCTCTGTAGGTGACTTCTGAATCCAAGACCCAAGTTGGGTTCTGCACGACACAGCTAAACAGATCCACAACAACAGAGAGAAACACCAGACCCTCAGTCTGTCCAAGACCAGCTAGGCTGGTAAAAACACAGCACGTTTCAAGTTTGTTGATGCTTCTGGCCAGAATGAGAAGCTTTTGACATAATGGGGCCCAAATGCTTACCCCAGTCCTTCCATTTATACAGAAGGAGAGAGGATGGTGGGTGTGTCTTGATAGGTGGGTGGTGAGAGTTTGGGGTGAGCGACAGGCGGCATGGTAGAATGGTGACAGCAGGACACAGGGTGGAATCTAGTGGGTTTTACACATCACAGCTTGTAGTGTAGATTTTCCTTTGCCGGATGCTTTGGTTTCCCCCCAGCCGCCTGGGCTCTGCTGTGTTGCAGTCCCCAAATAACACACAAGACAATGTATTAATCATAAAGCTGTTGGCTGTTTGCTTGTTTCTTACTGGCTATCTCTGACTTAAGCAATTATTTAACCCATAATGCTAATCTAAGTATTTCTCTTACCGGAGAAAAGGGTCTGGACCTCTTTCTTCTATGGCGGCTACATGATGTCTGTCTGTGTCTCTCTTTCCCAGAATCCTCCTCTACTCCTAGTCCCACCTATCGTGCTTCCCTATTGGCCAGCAGTGCTTTATTGACATATACACAGGACTCCCCATCAACAGCTCCTGGGCCAAGGCAGTGCTTAGCCAGTTTTTGTTGTTGTTGTTGTTGTTGTAAATGAACGTGTACTGTGGTAGAAGCATGCAGGATAGTCCCTGGCTGATTTTGTTCTGTACCGGGGAGCTGTACCGTCTCCACAGGAACCTAAAACACTCTATTGCCCGTCAAGCAAAATGACTTATGGTCCCTGGGAAAGACAGAGGCTCGCAGGCAGATATGTGACATCATCGTGGTTCTTGGACAGTTGTGAAGCGTATGGGTGTCCGTTGTGTCGTGGTGTGTGGATGTTACAGGCACACCAGTGACGGACAAGTGTGACCATCGTTACATCGTGTGAGCACGGCAGTGAGGAAGTAAGTTGGGAAGGAGAGAGTGGAGGAGGGAGAGCCCTTTCCTCCACGATTACACCTTTTCTGTTAGTCTCCACCCTCATCGTCCCCGCTTCATCAGATGCAAACGGGGTGAGGAGAAGGACATAGGCTGAGTAAAGGGGAATTTCCAGCAACGGCAGGACAAACGTCGGGTATCATGCACAGGGGATCCCCAACCTTCCTTAGTCACCTGATTCCTCAGAGCAGTGTGAGGAGCCAGGCTTACCCCTGGAGCTCTGCCAGCAAGCGCAGCTCAGAAGTCCTGGGAGGATTCTCATTGGTCATTTTAGCCTTCATGAAGACACTCTAGGCAGATCTAACCCTGGACACAATCTTGTAATGCGCTGAGTACCGTTTGCCCCGTGTGAGATGAGGCTTTGTGTGGGCAAGCTTAACTCAGATATATCTGACTCCAGAGTCCACGCTCAGCTGCTCAACTATACTTCTCAGGGCCAGAGGTTTATCTTATGCAACCTCAACAAAAAAAAATGACTTTGTCACCTGACCAGTTGCAGAAGGCCTGTGGAACATTCTGGAGTAGTAAAAAAAAAAAAAAAAAAAGGCTCACTTCAGGCACTGGAAACCCATTTCTGTTGATGGCCAGGTATTTGTACATTCAAAGAGGTGGTTCCGGCCCCTGCTGCGGAAGTTCCCAATACTGGCTCCTGGTAAACAACCAGCTTCATTGCTGTCCAGCTCCTACAGAACCCGTTTTATAAGTGAAGAGAAACGAGAGAAGGCCCTGAGCCTCAGCATTGGGGAACGCAGAAAGATGAAGTATTTTACACTTCTAGAGGTCCGGAAGGTCAATTCAGTGGGGGTGGGTCAAACAAGCAAGTGGCTGAGATATATTTGTGGCACTGGGGAGGAGGGACTGTAATGTCTGCTGAAGGGAAACCACAGCTGAAGACTTCAGGACATGGAGACCTGTCAATATGGCTAATCTCAAAGGGATGTGGGCAGAATACACTTTTGATAGCCAAAGAAGTGCACTGTGGAAACTGTTAGCCTCCAGCAGGCCAATTTGTTCTCATATTACACACTTGGCTGGCTGTGTGGCGAGACCCCTAAGTTGGGGATCTGTTTCAGGCACACCCCCTCCCCCCGCTACGAACACTCAGTGAGGGTTGACACAGCATGGTTGATAAGTCAACAGAATGCAGAAGCCACAGCCGGATTAAGAAGGCTGTTTTATTTTGGTGCCCAGGACTTCAAGCAGATTAAATAATCAAAAGGGCCGGGCCACTGGGGTCATGTTTGAATGCTACAGCTGCTCACTAAGGTCTGACCAACATTCTTTACGGGGCTTGCTATCTGAATGGGAGAGGCAGAGGAGATCCCAGGGAGGCTGACAGTGTGGGAAAAAAAGACGGGACAGAATCGAAAGACCCTCCTATGGAAAAGGACCCCAGCAGACGGGGACACGACGGGCTGCTTTAATAATTGACCTCCCGAAGGCAGAAACTGTTTTCTGCAGCAGAGAAAGAGCCCATGCTGGATTCTGGAAAACCGAATGGAAAGCTGGCCCCGAGTTTGCCGTGGGGCCCGGGTGTGTTGATCCGTAAGCACACAAGGCAGAGGTACGTGTTGGAGTGGGGCTCGCACTGCAGAGACTGAGCCATGAAAGGTGAGCAGAAGAGAATCCCGTCGCCCTTACCCCCGTAAGTCTCCCACTGAGAGGAGGAAGGGATCCCCCTCTGAGAGGCGTCTGTGAGAAATTAATTTTCAACCTGTCTTTCTTAAAACACTGGACAGACGTGAAAAATATCTCTCAGTGGGAAGATGGATGTCTCCCCATGCTGAGCATGGGGAGAGCGGATGGAGAGAAATGTGTTTGGCTGTGGTGTGGACATGCAGTTGGTTTGTCATGGGCCATTTCATAGACAACATGGGGCCTTCAGTTGGAGTTCATATATTATTCCTTTTGGGGAGGTGAGAGGTTGAGAAAAGAGGAACAAACTGGACCCCCATCTCAGGAAGGTGTGCCTTTTATCAATAAGTACATAGGGTGAGGAAGCACATTCTGGAATTTAAGAATTGGGTTCCCTGTGACTAGCATTTGTAACTCAGGCAACAGCAATGAGGTCGGGTGATTTCTAATGGAAAGGTGCTTGGTCTGTGGAAGGAAGTCATTTAGATATCTGAAAAAAAAATTACAGAAAGAAAATCAAGGGCTGTAATCTTCTGGGGGCAGGGGGTGGCTGCAATGTTCCGTGTCTCTTGAACTATAATAAAGCAAACAACACCCCTTGGGAAAAAAACTCCACATTCGCTTGTCCTACAGGCCTGGGCACCAGCAGCCGGGAGCAGAGTCCAAAGCATGGAGATCAAGATGTAGTACATTTGACAGTCATGCTGTGTGTTCCCCTAGGTGAAGTCCAAACCAGACCAACAAACAAATAACCTTCCCATGAAAGCCTTCATGTTGATAACCATTCTCAGTTTTGAATAGCATTCCGTGGCCCTGTAAATGCCTCTCCAGTTCAACCAAGTGCCCTTGACAGATGTTTGCCATACTTAGAAATTCAAATCTCAGGAGGGGAAAGGGAGGGAGACAGCCACTTTGAAGAATCAAGATCAAGCAGTCTTTTAAGAAAATATCAATTCTCTGAGCCTTACAATGAGACCCACTCTGGATTCTGGGGAGCCCTCACCAGTACCCCTACATAGCCGTGAGATGCTGGGCCAGGGAGCTTTTCCAGCATCATTTATAATAGCAGGAAGGAGACCCTGGCAGCTGAAATGCTCCTTGGTGGGAGAGGATTGGATTCTGGATTTTCCATGGTCACACAATGGAGTATGACATACTAGTTTAAAGACATAGAGGAGCTTTCTAAGTACACATGTGGGTACACAGTCTTGACTAGACAGAGCAGATTGCAGAATAGGATGAACTTACGTTTACATTTATGTGGCTTTATTTTAAAACAGGATAGCGCCATGCAAATTCCTCCCCAATTGCCTCGCCATGTTTCTCTCAAGGATGACAGATGAGAATTCTCGTTGATTCTGTAGGCAGTCTGGGTTCAAACCATGTTCTGCCATTTATTGTTTCTGTGACCCTGGGAAGCGATTCACCTCTCTATGCCTCTCTTCCTTTAAAATGCTGGAGACAAACAACCGTGTTGGCAAGGTCATTAGGGTGGATTCACATGTATAAAGCAATAGGAAGTGATCCCTGACCAGAAATGAATACTTTCCGGTCGTTTGCTGCTGTCCTTACTAACTACAGAGTTCAGTATAACAAGTTTGTATCCGGGTGATCATCTCCAGCAATTATGGAAATAAAAATCAGAAGGGATACATAACAGTACCCTTACCTAAGCCAAACCTAAGCCAAAGACAAGCTCGCACTACTCCACTAGTCTGGAAATGCCAGGTCTTGAAGTGAGTGAAGATAATTCGAGTGTGTGGCATCACCTTTTGCAGTCTGGGGACTTAGCTCAGTGGCAGAGCCAGCACAAGACCCTGGGTTTAGCCCTCAGATTCGGGGGACACCGAAGGTCTCAATAGAGTGTTCAGGTGATTGGGGGGGGATCCTTAGAGGACACCGAAGGTCTCAATAGAGTGTTCAGGTGATACACTCCGTTCCAACGCCAGCTGGAAACATTATGAACACTTCAGCCCCGCTATCATTTAGTGAACAGGGTTAAGAAGGCTGGACCTTGGCCTTAGTCATGAGTGCTTGCCTAGGGCCGGCAAAGCTTCTGAAGTGTGATCCCGGCACCATGCAAACTGGATGTGGTGGTGCATACCCATAATCCCCAGAGAGTAACTGTCATCTTGGACATGTCTGGAGACATAAACCAGGTAGGTCTGTGAAGGGGCCTCTGTGAAGAGAACCGAGCTGATCAGAAGAGGTTGTCGCCGCCGCCCCCCCCCCCACTAAAGCACCGCACATCCCAGTGAAAAGAGAGAAGATGGAAGACTGACAGCCTATGAGGGGCTGGCACGGGTTACAGAAATAAGGATGCTTACCATATAATTTCTAATAGTGGTGGGGGGTTAGTTTTTTAAACCTTTACATAAAAAAGGAGCAGAGACAGTCACCACAGATGGGTTTTCCCTGCAAAGACAGACAGCTGTTTGCAGGCACGCCCTACCCAACGCAGTCACCCAAGCCACAGCAGATCACTATAAGTCTAAATGAATGAAAACCAAGTCAAAGCTCAAAAGTCAGCTCTATGGTTGCAGAAGTCACATTTTTGGGGGAACTTAGTAACTGTTGTTACTGTAGGTGGCTAGGGGACACCCATGTTGGAGGGCAGACAGAACATTTTCTACCACTATACAAAGTTCACCTGGCCTGCCCTACTCGTGAGACTTCCTTTGGGAAGTACGAGATCCCCTGTTACCTTTATGTCTGCCACGGCACACGCCTGACCTCCCAAGGACTTGTGCCCAGGGTGACTTTCTCCTCACTGTTTCATGTGACTATCAGTCTTCTCCAAGGCCACTGGCAATGGCTGGCTTAGAGCTGGCTGCAGCCATGGGATGCCTTGCTCAGTCCCAATCTGCCATGACGGCGAGGAACAGGACTTCCTTTCCAGGTGGGTGGGAGGCACTGCCGGCTCAGGACCATACGACGCGTGAGTTCCCTAGCCCGTGGTGACCTTCTCTCATACACTGGCCTCCACGCCGCCCTCTTCTCTTTGTCTCAGGTGCTCTGCTGCTGTTTTCCAGTGTGAGTATCCTGCTCCCAGGTGTGGGCAGCTGCCCCAAGAAATGTTTGTGTCACCCATCTTCAAACTCCGTGGACTGTGGTGGCCAGGGGCTGTCCACGGTTCCTCCTGATCTACCCCCGTGGACACTAACCCTACTCTTACAAGACAACCAGATCCACTGGCTTCCTGCTCTTGCATTTAGGGCTGTGCCACGGCTCAACACCTTAAATTTGTCGAACAACTCTCTTTCGAATCTGGCTTCAGAGGCTTTCTATGGACTTCGGCACTTGGAGGTTTTAAACCTAACCCAAAACTCCTTGCTTTCCCTGGAAAGCAGCCTTGCCCATGCCCTGCCTGGGCTCAGGGAGCTGGATCTGTCATCCAACAGCCTCAGTCTCCTGCCCACATCCCTGGGCAAGCCTTGGGAGAACCTGACGGTGTTTTCCATGCAGCGGAATCGTCTCCTACATCTGGATCGTGCGCTTCTAGAGGCCATGCCCAAGGTGAGGCTGGTGCTTCTTCAGGACAACCCCTGGAAATGTGACTGCCACTTGCTGGGTCTGAAGCTCTGGCTGGAGAGATTCACCTTTGAAGGTCAGTAGCGTGTCTTTGGAATGTTGTCACCAGCCTAAGGTGGCCCTCTTCCACCCCCCTCCCCCCACATCTCAAGTGACTTTGGGAGAAAATGGGTTCCCAGTTTAGGATGGGAAAGAAAAGCTCACCCCCCCCCCCCCAGAAATTGGCGTGTAGAAGAACCAGAACCAGGAAGGGAAGGTAGCTGTGGGGGTGCGGGACACAGCACCACAGCATGCTCTAAGGGTCTGGTGACTGCATCGCCTGATTTAGTGGGAGACAGCGGAGGGCGGTCTGGATGGAGATAACGTGCACAGAGCACCTTGGGTGCCTGCCCAGGCCTTTCCCATGTGCAGAGCAGGTGCCCTGTCTGGATTTTATTCTAAGGGACGTGGGAAGCTCTGAGGAATTCTTGCCTAGGGAACGGCATGATCTGACCACTGTGTAAAATGCCACTCTGCTGACTTAGAGGGCAGAGTAAAGGCCATCAATGGAAGAGCCAGAGGGACGAAGGGGGATGTGATCTCGGTGGATTGCAGACGAGATGACCGTGGCATGAACCAGGGCTCTAACGAGTGACGGGCATTTGGAGCAGTGAAATGCTAGAAACTGCAGAGGACTTGGAGGGGATGACGGTCTGGTAGAGGAGAGAACAATTGTGGGGGATTATTTTGTATTTGATTCTGTTTGGTAACTACGTAAAGGGTGGAGCTCTTAGCCGATAGATTGGGGGCAGTAGGAGATTCAGGAAGCTAACACATTTGAAATATTTGTCACACTTTGGGGGGGTTGTTGGTGATTATATGTATTCATGAGCCCATTGCTCAGGAAGATCTGATAGCTGCAGATATGAATGAGAGAAAAGCAAAAACAAAAACAATAACCCAGCATTTGGAGGCATGGCCCATATACAGTAAGAGCTCAAATTTGCAACATCAAATTTGGAAGTTTCTCAATAATCTAAGAGCAATCAATACATTGCCAACCAGCCAGTGTTGAAGTTAGTTCACAACAGCAACTATGTAACTTAGGAACATCCTGTTGATACATCAAAAACAAGTTCATCTGGAGGAGAGGAGCCTAGGGCCATTGCTCTGAGAATCAAGTCATAAGCACAAAACAGGCCATCCCAGAAAGAGAGAGTTTTCATCAAGGAAGAACATTTCTTAATGTTAAAAATGATATGTAGTTTCCAGACCCAGGACATCCGAAGCAGTGGAGGCAAGTTGGCATTCTCCCATCCAGCCACAAACCTGGACCAGTGAATGCCTTCCGTTGGTGCTCAGTGCTACCAAGTGGAATCTGGCAACATTAAGGCTCATTCTGGTCCCTCGATTAAGCAGCGCCATTTAACTCCCCTCTACGACAATGCTTCTCAAATAGACAGCGGCCTGTTTCAGAGGACGGAGAAATCAGTTCAGGGTACCACGAGCTGGCGTTCCAGCGTAAAGAAAGGGGAAATAGGAACTAGATGGAAAGCATGGGAGGCAGTCTGCCTATCCATACAGTCTAAAGTTAAGCTAATGGGCAGATGCTACCCCGAACCATCATAAACAGATACAAACACTGACAGAATTGGTCAGAGCAGGGTGATTAAAATTACAGACCACCCGACGTCAGTGGCGTACGCTCAAGTCTATTGCTTACTTGTGCCACAGTCCAAGGGAACTGGGAGTGGGGTCTGCATTCCAGGCAACCATTTGGGGACATAAGCCTCCTCTGGATTGTGATGCCACTGGCTTTATCACATGACATCTAAGGTCACCAACCAACACAACACAGAGAGGACCACCTTGGGGATTTTTTTTACCCTGCATAGTAATATTCTTACTTCTACTGTGTAAAGTTCAATCATACGGCCCTAAAGTGACACCCAACAGAACTGAAAAATGTAGTATCCTGTGGACCGAAGGGAAAAAGCTTTGCTTTGGCCAATCAACGTAGAACTGTCTCTCCTTGACCCAACGATACACACAGGGCGGTAAATGATCATCTGTTGTTCCCATGGGAGCCCATCCTTCATTTCCACGGCTCACTGTGAAACAGGCAGTCTGAGCAAGTTCATGGCAGCGCTCGCCGTGCTGCTGAACACTTGACACAATTTATCCACATGAGCTCCCAGAAAAATCTCCAAAAAAAAAAAAAAGAATTTCATCTTTATTCCTCTTCCACTGTGCAGGAATGCAAGCAGAGGCTCAGCGTGAGTAAGGAGCTTTGTGGGATCGAACAGCTAAGTTATAGATAGACCTAAGGTTTGAGCTCAAGTTTCCTCCAAGACAGAGGTGAAGAGCTACCAGTGTCAGCTGTGGGGGAGCGTGAAGACTGGGTGTGGGAGCTTCTTGCACCATAGGTGCCTTTCTGGCACTAACTAAAAAATCCCCTATGATGTCTATTGAGAATCTGTAACCTGCATTTGCAAAGGGAGTGTGCCACCCTCCCGTGGGTGAGACTTCTTTAGAATAGCCCGAGAGAAACAAACCACAGGTTCCATGGGTCCTGTCCAGACAATTAGGCTTTTCTGCCACCGCCATATTCCCAGGAGATACCAGAGAGACAGAAGTAGACAGAGGGAAGTTTCCTGGGGGGCTGGGTTTAGGTGTTGATTTACCTACTCAGGCCCTGTGTGAATTAAAAAAGAATTCTTTATAAGAGTAGATGGCGAGGACTTTAAACTGCCAAGTCAGACACAACTAGGATGTTCTGGTGACAGAAAACTTTAAGAAGCTCATCCCTGTGAAGCTGGATAGCGTGCCAGTGGTTACATGGGCAGGAGGAGGAGGCTGAGGCCAGCGCTCCAGAGAAGGACAGCTAACTATCACACATATCCAAGGGACGCAGCTACCATACAGAGACCAAAGGCCACACTGAATGAGTCCTTGGAACGTTTGGCACTCAAAGTCGTAAATGCCACAAGGCCAGAGAAGACAGGTTACTTAAATACCATGAACTAAACATATGGTAGAGTCAAATGCTCAGACACATAAAACACCTCAGCTGGAAAGTGCTGGTACAGACATGGGGTCTTTTGTATTAGCACACAAACACAAGAATAGATACTCACTTTGTGCTTTCCTTGATTTCCAGTGAGAATCTGGCAGGAAAGGTTTCTTGTGTGGTTGGGGATTGGGCAGAAAGAATGCTGGATGTCACACTAGCTGTTGGGTCCTCATGGTCCCTGTCGGCGCCTGCCCAGTGGTCCCCTCAGCCCTTACATACTATTAAGGGAACTTGGTTTCTAATAAATTCTTAGCAATAGGTAGCCATCTAATCTGTGGTAGGCTCGGGACTTGGGAACGCTGTCATTATCCAAGCCCGATCACTGCCCTTTGCTTTGTTTCTTGAAGGGGGTGTGACAGACGGTGCCATCTGCAGGCTGCCTGAACCCTGGAAGGGAAAGGATCTCCTCTCCATTCCCCATGAGCTGTACCAGCCCTGTCCTCCACCTTCTCCGGACCTGGCACCCCTGCTAGTCCAACAGCCTGGTTCCACCGCTGGAGAGGTCCACAGGCCCTCCGAGAGTGACTCGGGATGGCAGGATCCCCCGGAGTGTGAGGCCAAACCCAAGCCAAAGCCAGTCAACCTGCGCAATGCTGTGGCTACCGTGGTCGTCACCGGGGTGGTGTGTGGGATTGTGTGCCTCATGATGCTGGCAGCTGCTGTCTACGGTTGCACCTACGCAGCTATCACAGCCGGGTGCCACGGGAGACCCTTGGCACCAGCCGGTGATTCTGAGAAGATGGGAAGCAAGGAGCCAACACACACAGTTCCGCAGCCTGAGGACCTCCGTGCCAAAGTCCTTGATCGCCGAGGGCTGCAGGAAATGTCTGAGTGGGCCTGATATGTTTCACCGCTCTTGTACCATGTTATGTCTCCCAAAACAACTAAGGAAAAAGCATGTGTCTGTTAAAAAAAAAAGGTACCCAAATTTATGGGAAGAGATTTACGGTGTAGCTTTTAAATACCAGGGATAAAGAGGCATGCACACACATATCTTGCATCTGAGAAGTTATGGCAATGAGTCTATCCGCAGGAACACGAAGAAGGGGGTAGCTATCTCTTTTAGGTACCTTTCTCTGGATTAACTTGTTTCTGCAGAGCAACAAGAATGCTGACTTGTGTGCCAATAGGCATTCTTGGGAGCTTTGGGGCCACCAGTTGGAATGCCTGGGAAGAGGCCGGTGATCTTACCCGAGGGGTACTGGATGCCTCTGTAATTCAAGTTCATGCTACATTGGTGGGGACTTTTAGATGTTGTGTATGTTACATATTTAGTGGAAATGTCTGCTGGTTGGGAATTTCATAGCTGGCCACAAGAGTCAGATTATATTTAATTTTCTAAATCGGAAAACCATTTGGGGCTTTCTAAGCTGCAGGAGAAGACAAGGGTTCCATGTCTGGTTAATGGGACTCAGGCCTGAGCAAGATTTTTTTTTTTTGACGTGAAGGAACACAGAAAGGATGGGTGGAACAGAACACTGGGCAGATATCACCAAAAGGCCCCATCCACCAACCAACTGGAACCTTACCCTAGAACTCACGCAGGGATGGATCTAGGTCAGGCTGAATGCTGCTTGTGTTTCTGCATCTGCGCACAAAATGCACAGAGGGCATGGGTTTGTACAGCTACACCCACACATAAACACCCTCGGAGCAATCAGCTCGCCCACTAACGAAGTGCAGCCGTGCCGGGTGGGAGCCAGCAGCTGCTGATCACCACCCAGATGGTGAGCTCCGCACTCTGGGGTAGGAAGCAAGAGGGAAGTCGGAGGGGGAGTGGGAGGTACTGGGGGGGCTGGGGGGGCTTCGGTGGCAAACATCCTGGCAAGTGCTGGAGCAGGCCTTTAAAACATTCAGGTATGGCTTGCTAAGCCCACGGACTTTGTCCCAGAGAGTTGCATGCGAAGTGAATTTTTGTAAATTGAATCATCATTTTTAATGCAGCGGGGGAGCTCTCTATTTAAAGGAACCTTTCATGGAATCTTTTCTGTAATGGAAGTAATTGGCTCCAGATTGATGCATTTTTTTTTCAAATTTGCATTTGTATGCTAGGGTTTCTTAAAGTGGAATATACCTATGCCTACTCTTTCTGTTTATACGACGGGTACTTTTTTTTTTTTAAGTATGGCTACTTCTCACAGGAAGAGAACATAGAGGAGTTAAAGACATGTTAAAAGCAGAAAATGACAAATATGGGGCAAGCTGTTCCTCTAGAGCCCATGACAGACATTGCTAATCAATCCCAGCACTCTTCCCAGCTGAGCCTCAAACACACCGCAGATGGTTTCTTAAGACAGCACTGTAGGCAACCAGAACTAATCAATTGGAGTTGGTTCAAAGGATAAAGCACTTTTGCCATTCAGGGTACTGGCTCTACTCCACCCCTCAAGGCCATGTAAAAACTGGTTTGGATCCCCAGTCAGTAGGCTACTCCCAAACTGGAATGCAAACGGGACATGCACTGTTGGGATGGACAGAAGCCTAGGAAACTCTGAGCGGTGTAAGCCTTGCACACCAGTGGGCTAAGCGTCCACTCTCCTTTTGGAGCGTCAGTTTAGTTAAGACAGTTTCCTTGCGATAAGAAGTTAAATTGTGAATAGCTAACACTTTTGTAAATATGTAAATAAAACTGAATACATAAAATTATAAAATTTAAGACCACACTGTATGTATGAACAGAAAGTCACAGTGAAACCATTCTCATGTGCAGTTAACACACATTAATGATTACAATGTGAAAGAGAACAGAACAAAGAGAGTTCTCAGGGAAGGCTTCATGGGCTGTCACTCACCGTGACACCTCCTCCCCACTGTGCCAAGGTGGGACAGTTCAACCGTGTGACTGAGTTCCTACTCCGAGGATGTAGCAACTACTTTCAAGCTGAAGAAAACATTTCTTTCCATTGTCCTAACTGTGCCTTTGGTGTTGCTGTCGGCCAAGAATGTAACGTGGGAGGAAATTGGGAAGGTTCTTTATTTTTCATCTCCATTTGACCAAATGTTTTCTGAGCTCACACGGTTAGTAGGCATGGCGCAAACTGCTCCCATAAGCATTCCACGTAGAACTCTGACACTCACCTGAGGGATTCATGAGCAGCTATCACATGCCCCAAGAACTCCCAGGACAAGCAGTATATGCCTCCTCCTCTAACAAGTGATTTAAGACTGCATGACCTGCCAATGGTTTGGAGGTGCTATAGGTTAGTCTTGTCCCCAACAATTACATAAAGGAGTTTCCAGTACACAGCACAAACCATGAATGTGACCCAAGCCCATGCCTGTCAACATCCTAATCCCATTAGGTATCCAAGCACAGATGATAACCCAGGCGAAAGGCATCTAGCTTAATAGTCTTTAAGCAAAAGGATTTAAATGATACATATGTACACCCAGATTTTTAGCATTTGCCTACAGTCACCACACACAGCAGTTGGCAATGAAAATAATTACTTACTCTGAAATGTCAACAGCTTCTCAGCACAGAAAAAAATATAAATCAAGTTGTTTAGATGAACAAACGTGGGGGTTATCATTTGTTAATATGAGAAATGAAATGTTTTAATTGCAAAATGCACAGCACATGAAAAGACCGGGCTTGCAGGGAATCTGCAAGAACCACAAATTATCTTTCTCAAGCACTGCAGCTCACGAGGGGCAATTTATGGATGCCTCGCAGATTATTTTCAGCTGCTGATTACTGCCATCCTAGTCACAGATTCCCCTGTAAGAATGTCCTTCCATCACAGGGCCAGGCTGGAGATGCTGAGGGCAAAAAATTCACGCTTAGTGTTGATTGCATCAGAGAAAGTCATCTGAAATGTCACGTTTTCATTGAAGGCAGTGTGACACGTTGTGGTGATAGGCAGGTGGTTTTTGCTAGGGCAGGGCACTGAGGTCACAGACTCGGCCACTTTCTGCGGTGACGTACACAGGAAAGGTGTAGAAAGCGTGCAACGATGAGGCGGTTTGTAAGGAGTGAGGTCTGGTACCAAACCGGGAGAGCTTGCACAGGTACAGCAAGCAGGTGCCTCAGACCCCGCAGAAAGAATCTTGTACTCAAAATGTTAACACGCCAATGGACAAAGGCGTGAGCTCATCTTGCCTACAAAAATATAAAGCTAAAGAGAGATCTGTACCCGGGGCTTCCTGCTGAAGGCTCCTGGAAATCAAATCCCGTTGCTGGAGTCAGCTAAGAACTACTGAAAACAGACCCTTCCACCCTACACTCTAAACCGTTGGTTCTCAATCTGTGGCATCCCAACCCCTTTGGGGTCAAATGACCCTGTCACAGGGGTCACATCAGATATTTACATTACTATTCATAACAGCAGCAACATTACAGCCGTGAATTACAGCAATGCAGTAATTTGATGGTTGGAGTCACCGAAACACGTATTAAAGGGTTACAGCATTAGGAAGCTTGAGAACCACTGCTCTAAATATAGAAAGAAGTGGCTAAATCGGTTTCCATAGCAATCTATCTGTACCCCATATTCATAGTTACATAGCAGTCACTGGAGTCCCCTAACTTCCTATGCAGATCAGGAAAGCAGTGTAACTCGGGTAGTTAAAAACCCATCAGTAGACTTACCATATGCTACTACCCAAAACCTACAAGACACCCCAACCTGGACATCGCCATGCTGGACCCTCTGCAGAACTCCAGGAGACCATCCTGTTCTCCCTCTTGATGGAAAGCCTTCATTTTTTTTTAAATGTTCAAATTGCAATGAGATCTCTAAGAGCCCCTTATCTCACTCAGAGCCTCGGCCTTACAACTTACTTGCCCGCCTTCAGACTCTTGACAGGACCACCTGCATTCATGTCCACACCAAAGACACCCAATGTTCAGAACCCTCTGGGTAGGTAGCAGGTTATCCAGCCTCACAGGTCCATTAAGAAGACCCAGAAAATGAACCAAAGGAGGCAGGAAGGGCCCTGAAGAACAGTATGCGTAGGCCTGGAAAATTTCAGAACCCTTGGCCTCCTTGTCATCATGGGCATTGCTAACAGATCACAGTAAACATATCAGCTGGTTCCTGACCAGACCCCAAACCCTTTTAAATCTGTTTCTCAGGTGCTCACAACAGCTCAACTAGGGTTGACACAGGGGATTAAAGCTATTTGCTACTTTGATATAAGCTCGGTGCCTTTATTTTACAGTACAGATAGGGACTAGAAATAGGAAAAGGAAAAAATAAAAGCTTTCCAGCTGTCACACACAGTTCATTGTGTGTCTGATAAACAGATGCAGAAGCATGTGGCTAGTGTGAATCACACAAACTAATCTCCCGTTACCCTCTGCTCACTGTGCAGTCAGCCATGCTATCTAGACTATGACATCATTGTGCTAATCTCTTAGATAAAAACAATTATAGCGCCACCATCAACATTTATTGAGCATGGTACTGGCTGGTTTTATGTCAGTTTGACAAAGCTAGAGTCACTGGGAAGAGGAGACCTCAGCTGAGAAAAGGCCTCAGTTAGGACTGGCCTGTGGGCAGTTTTCTTAATTGATGATTATTGTGGTCAGGCCCTGATCACAGTGGGAGGTACCAGCCTTGGGCAGACAGCCCAAGGTGCTACAAGAGAAAGCCATTGGGGAAGAAGCCAGCAAGCAGAGCTCTTCCCTGGTTTCTGCTTTAGGTCCTGCCGCCAGGTTCCTGTCCTCCGTGAGTTCTTGTCCTGGCTTCCTTCAACGATGGACCACAATTTGCAAATTTTTGGTCATGGTCTTTTATCACAGCAGTAGAAACCCTAAGACACAATTCTTCCTAGGTGCTTTTCAAGACTGAACATGTCCTTTTTTGTTGTTTGTTGTGAGGTTTGTTTGTTGTTTTTGTTTTATTAGACAGAGTTTCTCTGTGTAGTCTTGGACTCTGCCTCCCGATGCCTGGGATTAAAGGCATGTGCCACCACCGTCTGGCAAGTTTTCAGTTTTTTAAA